TAATGAGCGCGGCCTCATCCTGCACCGTCCACACTGCTTCCTGCAATCACGCAAGGGTTTAACCTCTGTGCAAGGACGACCTTAGTACCTGCAATAATTAAATGGGTGGCTACACTACAGTCAGGACACGCGCTCTGTAGCGAGGCGGTGATCAGGAAACAAGTAGAGAAGTGACCTTTGTTGGAACTGGCCTGTCTGCTTCTGGCCTTATTTAATATTTTATTACACTTGTTCATCTCTCTCAGCTAGCTCTTGTACTTACACTTTGAGAAAAAAAAGACACCTTTGTTCCCTTTTTAACCAGTTTCAAGCTTCACCAGAAATGAACACCGAAGCATGACCTGAAACTGCACTTAAAGCATCTACAATTACACTGAGGTCATTTGTATTTTATTTTTTCTTTCGTGCTTAAAGGAGGCCACCATGCAGCATTAACAGAAGAGTGTTTACCCTGCTGAAATGGGTAGCTGGTTTTAGTCTCTGCACAACCTTTACTTCTTCCCAGTCACCAGGTTTAGCTTAGGGTAGGAGGGCAGCCTGCCAGTTAGAAGAAAACAGAAAAATTGGCACCAGACATTCCCCACTTTCATGACAGCAGTTTACTTCGGGAGCTGCTGAGGGCTTCTGCTTTGCAAGCCCAATCCCAGGACTTTGAGACAAAGTAACTTATTTAATGAATAGTGAAAGAGCAGTTTGGAAAGAAACAAAAGGGAAAACTAATGGAAATGGAAAACGGCAACTGCTCAGGCTGAGCTCCTGTGCTGCTCAGGCCAAGGGTGCCCCAGGGCCCCGCCAGCCTTGCCGGTGGCAGCTCCATGTAAAGGCTGGCTCGGTGCTTACCCCTCTCTACAGAGGATTTAACATCCAGCAGATGAACAGCCGGCCACAAAACAGGCCAGCGCTACAGTGAGCCGAGGATAACCGCTACTGAACTCTTACATCATGGCCTTGTTTTCAGAGCAAAACGTTACACAATTATCTGGAAATCACCAGAGGGCGCAAAGACCCTGAGAGCTGCACGGAGCAACCGGCAGATCTGCTGTACTGAAAGATAAATATTATTTAAGCGAGGGACGAGTAGTCCTACCGATACCGCCCCCAGGCCAACTCTCTGGTGTCCTCAGCCAATCTGTTTGTTAGGTTCGCTGTCTGGAAGCTATTTTATAACCAAGTTACAAAACAGCCCCTTTAGTTCCATATTAAGAAGTACCTCCTGTTATCGAGAGGCTGTTCAAGAGTTCTTAATCATCTGTTCTGACTAGTTTCTTATACAGCCTTGGTATAAAATGTGATGAGTTTAATAATAAAAAAAAGTTATATACATCGCAGACAAACACAAATCACAGAAATTGTGCCACTTCTATCAAGCATTTTCTACAACAGTTCAAGATAGTTTTAAAGGGCCTTGTGTAGAACTTTGTTTTTTTAAACTCAGAGTGTAGGACATTAATTTGTGGACACAACTCTCAAGCAGCGAGTGACTGACGCACACTCATAACTGCCTAGTACCGACCTTGCTGAAAAAGGTTGGGAGGGGGTTTCCCAAGAGCTGGACACTTCGGACAAGGCAGTTCCTAGAAGTTCTCTCTGGTGCCAGAAACACCGGTCAATCTGTGGAAGACTCCGATTCAAAAAAAAAATCATGGATTCCTGTCAGTCATCCCGGACACCAGGCGCACAAGTTACTACTTAGAGAAGCTACTATTTAATGATAAACAAACTGCTGTATTCAGCTGAGCTCAGTGAGAACTGTTAAGAGACCAAATTTTTGCTGAATAGCCCCCTCTTGAGCTCGACTCTTCCACCTCACTAGACTCTTCCTGAACACGAACACATTCATCTATCACAGCCCATGAGGCTCTAGCTAAAGAATTGCAAGGCAGTTCTAAATCCACTGTAGTCTCAATATGCAATGAGTGATATTTGTACCTGAAAATTTTTGCAAAGGATGTTAGATGTGCCAAGCACTTCGGGAGGTCTCAGAACACAGTACTTACCTGTGGGAGCTGGTGACCTTCAAGAGGCATAGGCAGTTCAGCAGATACGTATCCCCTATTCGTTAGATTTTCTGTAGCCTTTCAGCAGTTTTTCACTTTTCACTATTCGTTAAATTTTCTGTAGCCTTTCAGCAGTTTTTCACTGTAAGAAACATTGATGACTGTAGGCAAGAAAAAACAAAGCACCTCCCAGCAGTAAGTATGCAGCATGCCAGCATTTGGGGCAGATTAGCATCGAGCTCTTGCAGTTCTTGCTTACAAAAAAATCTTCCATTTATTTTAACAGGAGTTTTGTTCAAGTAATTTTCACTTTTAGATTTGTGACTATACTCAAAAAGTAGTGGGAAAAGCTGATATAGTGGGATTACTGATATAAGCCAATCTAAAATCTTGTCAAGAGCCAACTGTGTTACTTTGTAATTAAGAACCACCTTCTGCCTTTAGGAAATAATTCATGTCTATATTTGAAAACATAATTTGAGCAGATCTTCCAAGTAATTTCTAGTAGCTTCTGTATTTGACTGCCATCAAAGGCTGGATTGCTTATAAATTTGAGTTTTGTAAGGAGTGTTAAATTATAAACAACAAAGATGGACATTTGGAAAATAAAGTGATTATATGCAAAATGGGGTGAGGGAAGAGATTAAAAAAATCAAAAAAAGCAATTCCTAAGCATTAAAATTATTTGTGGTGTTGTCTTTTTTTTTTAAATAAGGATTTGATATTACTGACATCTCTTTTGCCTGTATATGTTGATATTACCTGTTGAATTAAAAACAGATAAAATACTCTGTCCTTTAAGACCAGGCAAAGCCCCTACCAAGAACGGTGTTAAGGACAGTAACAGACACCTAGAGAAAAACATAAAACCTGTGGAAGCCCTGGGTGAAGCTGCTTCCTGCAAGTCCTTCGGGGACCCCCTGGCTACGGTTCTGCCCAGTGGCCGCAGGCGCATCCGGCAGCGCAGGCTCCTCCACAGGCTTCTCCAGGACCTGGAATGGCTCTTGGGATCGTGCACAACAGAGCTCAGAGGTTCCAATGAATGTATTTGCTGGAAAGTGGTTGATCACTTCAGATTTTGAGACATGTTCGCCAGCGAGGAAGTTTGTGTTAGCCCCTTCTAGCAGCCCGGTAAGACACGCATCGTTTTGTCCTCGAAATGTAAACGTCAGCAAATATTTCATAAAGGAGCATTCATTTGATCTCCAGCTTTAGGTCCAAATCATTCCTACATTTCATGATAGTTACCAAAAAAGCCAGATTTTCAAACGCATGCAGACTTAGACAATTCCAATATTAGCTTTAAGAAAAATACAGATTTTCCTGCACACTTAAAGACAGCACATCCTGCTTCACAGCCCTAATCCCCATGATCAATTACACCACTCTGCAGTACAAAATAACATCAAATCCCAGTGAAAAGGGATTTGATGACAATGGCAGTGATTCAAGTTTCAACTGTGAATGAAATTAACACTGGAGAAGGGAGCGTTCATAATGGATTCCCATAACCTAACTTCGCTGTGCTAATATTGCTGATGAGTGGAAGCAAATCTATGCAGAAACCTGTGCAGTTTTTAATCGCTGCATTTCTTTGTCCCAGGTAGAGCTTGAGTTCTGGTTGCTTATCCTGCCACATGTATAACTTCTCACATTTTTCAAATAAAAACTGAAAAAAGTTTATTGCTTCATATACTCCGAGAAAAATATATTTGGTGTTCTTTTTCTTGCTATATTCTGAACAGCTAACACTACAATAAAACGGCATCCGTTCTCTGAACTGAAAGAAAAGGTTCTGATGTGTCTGAAATACTGGTATTTTCATACAGTGCTAATGAAAACCATTCAAAGGTCTTGCCCTTTTCTTGAGCTGGAAAAACAAGTTCCCATTCCCTGTCAGTCTGGCAATTGTAGTGGCAGATAACTTAAATTACGATTATTTTCTTTTCCAGACATACTTCTTCAATTATTTCCATTATACAACCGTTAATGAATACCCAACACTTTTTCACCATCAGCAGTCAATTCAGCACATGAGGTTGTTACCATTAGGCTGTGTTTTCCTACATGAATTTCTAAAATAAATAAATAATCAGCCCCCTTCCTTTCAGAAAGGAGGAACAGCAATTTCTTGGTGTAGCAGAACATCAGCTCCTCTAGTTGTTGCTCATGTCTTAGTAGAAAGTTTGTGCAAATAACAGATTTCTGATTCGTATCAAAGAGAGACACTAATGGGGAGATCACACCATTTATATTACATCATGAAACATGGTGTTAGCTGCAAATTAGTTAATTTTCATGATGTTTTTCCAGGTTAGGTCAGAGCTTGCACTATGCTACAGATTGGCATTTGGACATTTCAGTGACGAGTCTCTCCAGTAAGGGAGGGCTGAAGCTAGACATGGTCCACGCACACCGCCAGCATCCTTGACCTCTCCTCCTCCGCACAGCACCGGCCTCCTCACTGCTGCTGCCCCCTCGGGCAGTTTGCCTCCCACTGCTTCAGCAAGCGGCTCTTCCCCTCGGAAACCTTCTACCTTCCCTCTTCATTCCTGACACTAACTGCCAACCAGGGGAGTTTTTCTAAATCCTCTAGTGCTTAGAACTCTTCTTGCACCATTTCAGGAAAAACATATTAAAGGAAGAGCCAACAAATCCCTCTTGCTTAATCCTTTATGATTTGGTAAAAATGTACCAAGTGGCACAGGAAATACAAAGCAAAACTTTTAGAAATTATCATTTTGTATCCTGAGACAAATCCCTTTCATCTCCCTCAAAAAGATGAAAGAACAGCAAACATAAAAACTTTGGAAGAAAAGTTACAGGTGCATATGTTTATTCAGAAATATGGTGGAATTCATTCAATTTCAACTTCTGTGTGGAAAAGCCACAAGAGGGGGCTGCATTTCTGTGAGGTTCTCCACATCAACTGATGAAGAACCGACCCCACCACAGGCAAATCCAACATGAGATTCATCTGTACTCATTCTGTGCTAGCGAAAGGCTAAAAGGGACAGTTTAGTAGTTGTGAATCTGCTCTGGTAACCTACGGCAAATATCAAACACACGCATGCAAAATCCATTGCCTGTACAGTCCTACCAGTGACTTTCCAAAGGCATTAGAAGAAACAGAAGCTTCTAGACCACGTGCGTATAGATGATAGTTTTCTAGCATCTTTTATGTTCACCTTTACCATTTGCCTTGATCACAAGGACAAGCAGAGATACGAAATACAGGCAGCAGGAGCTCAGTGAGGCTTCTCAAGATTCAGAACATCTGATTCACCGACCAGAAGGTTTCCAAACCACCTTCCTATGCCAAGAATTTTGAATTGCATGTGTGCATATGGAATGGAAATAAAATCCTATTGCTTACTGGGCAATATCAAACTCAGCTCACACAGTGTGGTTATTCTATATATTGGTCATGTATATGTCTTACTGCAAAAATGAAATACAGTGAGTGAAAACCACAATATACAAGTTTTTATCACAACTTTTTTCTTCTGTTTTGAGGGGGAAAAAATTCAAAAGGCGGAGTGTATAATAACAATTATTCATGCTTGGCTGCCATATTCTAGTTCATGCAACATGAAACAGGGAGGGTATACTTTCTTCCTTCTTATGACTAAAACCAGTATCAAGCTAAGGTTTCCTAAGATTCAGAATTAAATTTCTCAAGAGAAACTGCTGTATAAGGACTCTTCCTGGCACTTCCTAATGCGTATTGTTCTCCTACTGTGTAAAGCTTTCATACATTATCCATGGACAACTGGAGTACAAAGGCAGCAGTCAAGAACTGACATCGTTCTCTTAGCATGGTGGAAGGGGAAAAAGAAAAAAAAAAAAAAAGAGGAAAAGAGGGGTGTAGTTTCTTAGTAATATTATTGCATGTCTATTTCCTATTTCGAAGTTATACTGATCTCCTTCTCACACACTTAGAAAATACCAATTCTGCTTCCTATAATCATTTCTAAACTCTAAATTAGCATATAAAAGACATCCAAAATTTATTTTTAGGAGAAAGGGAATTTGTATTGGGATTACCTCCATCCTGCTGTTTCCATTTACTCAAAATAGCCAAATTACTAGGTTGCACAAATTACTTCAACACTAGACTAATAAGGCAATGTCATTTGGTCACATTCTGCATGGAGTCAATACACTCCTCTCTCAGGATAACAGCACATGAATAAAGCAACAGTACATCCTTCTCTCACAAGGTTGCAGTTCTCTGTCCAACAACTTCTTACTATCTGGAATGGTTGGCTGTATTTTGAATAGGTCCCTAACCTGCAGACAAATCTAAGTTTAGGAGTCATACTCACTTCCTTGGCCTTGTCTTCATATACTAATCCATTTACAGCACTAATCCGCTACATAAATAGTTAGCTTATACAAACCAGAGGCTTTTTTGGCCTATGCTAACAAGAAATCTGGAAGAAGAAGAAAAAAAATGAACACACATGAATTCCCATTTCATGAATTCAAGTACGTAGTCATGCAGAGTTAGGTCTCAAAATCATGCTATGGCAAACATATAATAGGAATAATTCATAAAACAAACAACCAAGCAAAACCCAAAAAGCAAAACAAAACAAAAAAAAAGTAGTTTGTAGCAAAAAATTTAAAAAGTGAATATGGTAAGTAGGCCACCATTGGGAAAAGAAGAGGGAACTTTTTGAGTGACTGGTTACGTAGCAGCATTTGAGGCCTTCAGTAACTTTTCTAATCAGGCAGAAAGCAGGAATTCCCCGAATTAGGGGCATTAGCAATGGCCTTCCATTATCCACACTGAACAGTACTCGGAGCATCTTCTTATTGGTTAGGTTTGTAATCACAGCTGAAAAATGCCGCTATTTCCTCTCTAGTGCATTTTTTTTATTATTCTTTTGCACTCACAAAACTAAGATCAGCCAGCTGTGTTTAGCAGGAGGATTACCTCATCCAGTGCTAAAAGCAGGCAAAACTATTTTGTCTTCTTCTGAACAGAAAGTTGAATTTCACTTTCTCTATCCAGTCAGAAAAAGCTGGTTCTACCAAACTTTTGCTAGTATTTCTGAAGCACTGGAACTTGAACTCATTGTTTAATAGTTGGTATTAAAGAAACATCACCTTTTTTCCTCTTCATAAGACTCTCATTTCTGTATGGCTGAAATACTGTGTTTTTCTAAGCTAAACGAAAAAATACTGAGTTCTATAATTGGCAGAATATGTTGACTTGTATATTTTACCTATATAGCCCACTGCCTATACATATACATGGTGCCTCATATACACAAGAATAGCCTTTTAGATTCAGTTTCGATAAGTCTATAAACATATGCCATGAAGTAACTTTCCTTCCCATTTAAAATACTTGTCACTACATATGCAATTCTACTACATACTTCTCAAAACGACCAGATTTTTAAAAAGCACATACAATATGTCAGTTAAAGGCAGACTGCGAATTAAGACAGAAAATTAAGTATAGGCTGCCTAAGATCTCATATTGTTCACAGAATCTAATTTAGCAAACTCTTAACAGAAGGTGATGCATATTTTCAGAAGAAATTAAAATAGTCCTTGGATGAGAACAGAATGGCCTTTCACTCTCTTCATCGTGGAAATGAACGTTCTTAGAGAAGCTCTGGAAGGTAATGTGTAGTCAAAAACTACCTATGAAAGATACGTATAGAAGACACAAGATTTTCCATCAGATTCTAGCCTGAATCTCCCATTCTAGCCAGGGAAGTTCAAAGGACAAATTCATTTTCTTCACTATTAAATTCGCACTTGAAGTTATTAACATGTTAAAAAATATAAAGTGATAACTCTTCAGAAAGCTGCGACCATTTGGCAGTGAAACAGCAGCAGAGTACATGAAGAGCTAAGTAATGATACTGTTGCTAAAGCACACCCCAGTTTTTAGCTAATGGGCTAAAACTAAGAAGTATGCAGCATGCCTTTTGAATTTATTTATTTTACAACTGTGCAACCTCCTTAACTTGTTCAGGGAGTGTGATAACGGCTACACAACCAGTCCCACTTTGTCAGTATCATTAATGGGAGCAACAGCTGCAATGGGAACAACAGGTATTTGACCTAGGTGCAGATCAACACCCAGTACAAATCACAAATGCAACATCTCTTGTGTTGTCTAGGTAACAGTGTCTTTTATAACTTCAGTGTACTTAAAACTCTGTATAATATGACAATTACCAGCCAGATAATGTTTTTTCTTGCAAGTGCCACAAATGTCCACGTGATCATGTAGGCAGATAATAATCACATGTTATCACCCACAACTCGTGAGTAAGCACAGTAACTACAATTAAAGAAACAACTACACAAAGAACTTTGAAATTGCTGATTATTTTCTGTTGTTTGGAAATAATCATACTTCTCTAAATCTGATCCCTTTCTGAATCTAAAGAACCATAACAATAATATAATATAGAATCATAGAATGCTGAAGGTTGGAAAGGACCTCTAGAGATCATCTAGTCCAACCCCCTGCACACACAGGGTCACCTAGAGCACGTGGCACAGGACTGCGTCCAAGCAGGTTTTGAAGATCTCCAGAGAAGGAGACTCCACAACCTCTGTGGGCAGCCTGTTCCAGTGCTCTGTCACCCTCACTGTTAAGAATTTTTTCCTTAAGTTCCTGTGGAACTTTTGATGCTTCAGTTTCTGGCCATTTCCTCCAGTTCTTTCGGTGGCCACCAGTGAAAAGAGGCCAGCACCATCCTCCTCACTGCCTCCCTTGAGGTACTTCTAGACACTGCTCATGTCCCCTCTCAGCCTTCTCTTCTCCAGGCTGAACAGGCCCAGCTCCCTCAGCCTCTCCTCCTAGGGCAGATGTTCCAGGCCCCTGATCATCCTCATAGCCCTGCGCTGGACTCTCTCCAGCAGCTCCACATCCCTCTTGTACTCTGGGGCCCAGAACTGGACACAATACTCCAGATGCGGCCTCACCAGGGCTGAGTAGAGGGGCAGGATCACCTCCCTTGACCTGCTGGAGACGCTCTTAATGCACCCCAGGATATAATGATATAACTGACACCACAAACCATTATCCTGCATCTGGCTATGCTATTTTGAAGAGATTAAGTGTGCAAGAAGCTTTAGATGCAAGTGGCTGAATCACAGAAATGCTTTTACATTCTAGGTAGCGCTAGCATGGTGACTATTAACTAAATTGACAGTTGAGGTACTCAAGAAGAGTCCTCAGTTGTTTTCACTAGAAAGCAGGACAATGGGCTGACACACACAAATTTAAAAGCAACAACTTAAAGACCACTCTCTGCACAAGACAATAGTGCATAGCTAACATCTTTTTTTTTTTTTTTTTTTCCTCCAAAGTACGTTAAGAAAAAAGGACACTGGAAGAGAAAGAACACAGACCTATTAACTAGCTGGAGTAGAGAGCTACTGTATAGGAGATCCCAGCTGAGTATAAACTGTGCAAATGGGAACAAACTCACAAAATAAATTTAGGTCAAGTATGCCCGAAGAAGAACTTAAGCTGGAATTTGTAACATTCTTCTTGGGAAGAAGTGATACAATGCTATTTTAACTCCCTCAATGGAAGGAAAAAGGGAAGAGAAAAACAATGTTTTCCCATATGAAGAATGCTTTTAAAGTATTTTCAATATGACTTTTATTACACAGGTGGAAAATAATATTAGTTTTACTACTAAAAAAGAAAAAACAGTTATAGTAGTACAACAGCCTAATAATAAAGTGCTAAAGAGGAGATGCAGTCAGATCCTTAGAGGTAAATGGTGAAAGGATGAAAGGTAATGGACGCAAATAGCAGCAAAGGAAATTCCAACCACATACTCGAAGCATTCCCTTCCCTTTCTCCAGCTCCCCAAGATGTGGCTAGTCAAATACTGGAACAGATGGACTGAGAATGTCCAGTCTGGAAGACAGTCAAAACTCACCTGGGTACAACCCTGAACACTCTGATCCAACTTTGAAGCTGTCCCTTCTCCAAGTGCAACAGATGAACTCCAGGGATACATTCCCCAAGTTAATCAGAATGCTTATAAAATAATCTTTTACTTGAAATAGGCAGTGCAAAAGACTAAATACGTGTTCTACACTTACTACAGTGATTCAGTTATGCCCAGTTCCTTCAATTTTTAAAAAGCAAAATATGTAGATATACATGATAAAGTATAATTAAATTAGTGCTTTTCTGTATTGATGTTCTTAATCTTGCTGTTTTAACTACAATCAGATCTGCAACTTTTAGAAATGACAAGTCCTATACAAAATAATATGCAGACCCAGCTTTTAACTGAATGGTATATTACACAGCAAGATTTTGAAATCAGAATATCCATCAGTGAATTCTAGGTTCAAGTTCATATTTTTGCAAGTACAGAAAACCCTCCTACAGCTAACAAGCACATATTCAGATCTGAAGATGTGACTATATATGTATTTCTGGATACATATACATATAGAAGGGTTACAAACTCCTTTCTCCTTGTAATAAAATGAAATTTGGCAGTAAAGAATCCTTATTGAGACTCCATTTTTCCCCACTCTCCTTATGGAATGCTTATAAAGAATGTAATACTCTATAACTATCCAAGTATTTAAAAATGATTGCCTTAGTATATTTAAACCAAGTGCATCACTTGATAAGAAAGTTTTCATCTTCATTAGAAATGCAACACATTCATAAGTGATTTTCTACTTTTTAATCACCTTCAATTTCTCTTTTTTTTCCTATGCCTGCTTCTTATGTTTTTGAGTATCACCTGGAAAAAGAAACAAATTAATTAGCACTCATATTTCAGTTCTGGTCTGTACTGGTTTGTACTCTTTTAATCACAACTTCATTATCCTACAGTGTTATTCTAAGATGTCTAATGGCAGCTCAGGACTATTAAGGCCTGTTCTGTCATTTGAGCCAAGTATGATTTTACCCTGGAGGTCACAGATGTTAATTCCACTATAATACCAGCATTTGCTTGTGAAGTTCAGTTCCACAAAATATTTGCACTGTTCCTCAGACATATTGAGGATGACTAAAAAAGAGATATAAGGACTAAAACAGCCGCCTTTCCCATTCATATGCTACAGACTTACCCCATAATAATGCTGTAAGCTTCTCGCCAAGGAAATAAAATGCTAACAACTCAAGGTAAGAAGTGACAAAAAGCAACATCCTTCCAGCTATGTCTAGAGCTTCTAAAATTGGGTACACCCAAATACCTGAGGCGTAATTTACCCACAGCATCCTATGAACAAAGAAAAACAAAGTCTTAAACATGAATTAATCATGTCTACTTTTTTTTAATACAGACTATCTTGTTTATTTCTCAAGCCACATAAATCCCTCAATTCTAAGTTCAGAAGAAAACTGGTTACAGAAATACATCACTAACTACACCTCAGAGCTTGTGATTTTAAGGATTTCCATTGAAAATATCCTGGTTTGATGCAGAAGTATCTCTTTCTACAGGAGCCAGTTGTATCTTTGATATGTGAAAATGGGAGACCATCACATCTTGCTTGAGAAAATGTAATCAATTAAAGATATTGACATGGACAATAGAATCTTTGAGGTTGATGGGGATGGTAAGCAGAACGTATCAATACATAGAAGATGGGTAGTTAGGCAAAAAAACTGAAATGCTACTACACTAAGTGTATAGGGGAAAATAAGTAAATAAATAAAATGGAAGTTACAGTAACTGCATGTGTTTAACCATTATTCCATTTCACAGGAAAATCATATGAAACGCCCTGAGGTCCCTTCAGTTTTGGGATTCATACCCTTTAACACAAGACTAACATTTACGGAGAACATCATTGGAAGGACCTGGGCCACCTAACAGGTTTTTCTTAGAGAAAGCACTCAAAATCAAGAGAAAACAAGGTCTTTATTAATATCTTATAAAAATAAAATTGTAATTGTTCCTTTTTTTTTTTCTAAAAACTTCATTATTAAATTGTTTTCTAGACCCGCTCAGACTCATATTCCCTGTCAGGATTATCTCCTAGGTATCAAACATTTAACAGAATGTCCCATTTTTTATATTCACAGCCTACAATCACCTAAGTCACCTTACAGAGGTACTGCTAAGATTGATATGAACATAAACACAGAGAAAAACAAAAAAAAAGGCAGAATAAGCATCTGCCACCTAAATTATTCAAATTTTAAAACCTTCAATTCTAAAATATTAAAAATCTAAATTATTTATTGTTGTAATTCTGTATAAGAATCAAAGTACAATGCTGTAAATTAAACACAAAGAGCATAATAAACACAACATAAACCCAAGAAGACTATAGCTTCATATTATTAACCCATTTCTGTTTAACATGATTCTTAGAAGGAAGAGAAATATTTTACAAAAATATATTTCTGAGGAACCAGGAAGGCCTACCATATAAGGTATGAAGAACCAAAGATGCTAACTCCTATTACTCCGTTCAGTTTACCAGGATATTTATGTGGACATGCTATTAGCTCGACAAAAAGTAATGGCAGTATGGTCGTATGCTAAAAATAAAAACAAATACAAAAGTTTAAGATGGAACATACAATTAGCAAAATGATCCAAAAGAAAACCCTTGATGTGCAGTTGTGGTGAAAGTATTTTCTTTCTCAGTATTCTCTCATAAACATTATAATTTAATAGATTTTCTAAAATTACCTTTTATATAAAAATAAGAGATTTACATTCAAGGAAAAAAAAAAAAAAGACAAGATGATGCCATCAAAATTAAGTAGAATAGTCCAGCTGCAGAAAAAGCCTGAATCTGCGCTGTACTATATCCTCTATCTGACACTGCTGTAGGAAAAAATAACTTTAATATAGTTTAATTGTGCAATATTATATTATTTAAGCAAAATTAAAGAGTAAGTGGGGAAAATTTTCAAAGTCCTGAGAAAGAATTAAAAACTTCAGAACTGTTCTGACAAAAAGCCAAATGCACTTCACTGTCTTGCACAAGACTGTTACATACAAAATAAAATATTCAGGTAAAGTTTGTGGCACAAGTTAAAAATATGCATGAACTATTAAAAATACACCTCCTTCCCACCCTCCATTACTCTTATTATTGATGAAGCCTCATTACTGTGGTAAATTTTGGACAGTACATACTTAGGAGACCACAGCCACATCATCCTATTACCTACACTTACAGCTGTTCTGAAGCAAAGATGCATAGTAAGGTGCCTGCAACTTAGTTTCAGAAAAAAAAAAGTAATTAAAATATATAACTGAAACGCCAAGAAAGCATCTGACTTACCATAGTATGATTAAGCCAACTTGGATTAACCTCATCCAGCTCCTCCGGATATATAAGTTCTCTGTTATATGCATATAGAGTCCAAAACATAACAGCTACAAACTGAAGTTAAAAATATAAAGAAATGGAATAAATATTTGCACAGTAATGTTAACAAGGACTACTATACTCATAGAACAACCATTTAAAATGTAACTTTTCTTATCCAGTGGATGCAGAGTGTACACTAAAGTGCTTTATTACTGCTTGCATCCATTTATTTTCTTCCTCTGAATTTGACTTTAGTGTCATTTAAGAACTACTTTAATATACTGCATAAATAAATAATATTTTTTTCATCAATTCTATTCCACTAAAGCAGTAGGAAATGCACTGTTATCTGCAAGTTCATGACTAATAATGCATCAAAACTGGAGTTCAAGGTTCTTCTTGATTAGTGTCCATGCATGGTTTTCATGCGAACAAATAAAACTGCTCTCATCAATTTTCTACTGATGGCAAATTCAGAGATGTGTCATCTCTCAGAAATACAAAAAACAGTGTAAATCAATAATTATTACAAATCAAAGACTGTAGAAAGGTAAGATGAAGAACAAAGGAGCAAGAGCAGCTTTTCTTTTTAGTCCATATTTCAACTATCAAAAATATGTGTATTATGTATCTTATGACTAAGCAAGCTCCCAAACGTACAGTATCATAGGAACAGAAAAAACAAATACTCTTTGAACAGCCGAACACAGATTGATGATGCCAGATACATCAGTAGCATGCAAGGCAAGTTCTAAGTAAATCAATAAAAAAAAAAGGGCTGCACAAAGCTTTATTAAACACAGAACTCTGAGACATCCCAGGGTGCAGATGCAACTGAACTTATTTAATTCAGTCCTCTAGAAAGAAGTGCTGTAACTATCTGCAAGAAGGCCCCTTCTTTAGGAAAATGATGCTGTATATTCTTTTTAGTTCAATAATTATTAATGTGATTATTCTTTTCATGAATATCACGAACATGAAAAAAAACGCAGTAGAAATACGACTTATGCAAACTCAAATGATGAATCTTTTTGTGTTCACTTGGAAAACACTTTCTTTTCCATCAGATGAAAAGGTTACATCATCTATTTGTAGTTTTTTTTCAGAAAGGCTTTTATTTAGCGTAAGGTATATAGTGTGTTTTTTAATTATTAGTCATTTTATTACCTCCTGGAGAATTCAGTCAGTACAGACAAGTATTCAAAAAACTGCAGTATTAAAAAAGTAATTTCAGACAATCTATTTTCTGAAACACACCAGTACAGATGGAAAGAAAGGAAACAACGGATAGCCTCACTAGAACACTTACAGTTTTTGAAAAGTGAATAAAACAGGATCATACCTGTCAGCTTTGTTAAGCTAAACTGAGCCTACCGATTTATCCTGTCTTTTCAGAAGATATTTGAGAAATTACTGAGGACTCTGACAGTACATGGAAGCTACTTACTAAGCCAACAGGGAATACTAGCACGGAGAAGATGAAGTCTTTCACTGGTAACAATCTGGATGACATGCTTCTCTTTTTGGCAGTCGTGAATATAAGTATAAAATCAATTATGACACATATTCCAAACAATAAAGCTTGCAGAATCTAAACAGTTAATGTTAAGAAAAAAGCTTTTTTTAGTACTCAATTTTTGCTGTAGTCCTCCAATTTCCCAAGCAGTTAATTTGAACACTGGCATTCTTTTTACTTGCTTTAAACCTTCACCACCAATTTACAGGTTTGGGCATCGACATTTACCAGTATTACAGTGGTCATAAATATTTTGAAGGAAAAAAATAATCCATTTTTGTGCTGACACCTTAATTGGTCCATTACATCACCCAAACATCTTACAGGAACAGGTTTTCCGCTGACTCAAAGGGAGTTTATTACAGAGCTTAGCTACAGCCTATGAGCTCAAGCAGCCCTGATAGCTCCTTATTTCTGCTAACTGCACTGTCAGGCTATGGATATTCAAACGCTCAAAGTGCCTGACCGGTACAAGCTGTTCAGGCCTGAACAGCTCAGCAGCAGCCCAGGAGCAGCAGAGCCAAGCCAGGGATTTAATCCCAGCTTTCTGGATGGAAATGTTCTCATTCCTCTATTCCAGTTGTCTGTCCCATCCTGATTTCCTGCAACAACACACCTCCTGCATGACCCTCCATCAGGACATGTCTTACACCCAGCAATAAAAACAAAGGGCCATTTGGACCATAACCTGAGGTGCACCTGACTGTTTCAAGTCACTGTATGTCAGAAAAGTGCAGGGAAGGGGCCCATGCTGCCCAACACCCTCTCAGATCCCTCCTCAGCCCTGTGCACCTCCTTAGATTCTCTTCTCCCTACTCAATCGAGGACACCCTCACTTCAGTTCATGCTTCCTCAGTGTGGCACTGGGCTGTGCCACATACAAGTCGCACCAACCATGTTCCCTCCCGACAGCCCGGCACCTGGTTGATGAAGGTGAGGTATTCCCAGCCCCCGCCGTAGGTGTCGTCGCTCTCCCTGCGGGCGGAATTAGGCAGCCCCACGTTCTGGCAGAGCGAAAAGACAGCCCACAGGAAGCAGCACACGTGGAGCACCACGAGGGGCCGCGGGCTCCGCAGCCCCTCCGCGCCGTCCCGCAAACCTCGACGCTGCA